CGGGTTGGCACCCTAAACCCGACTCGACCCAACCCAACCCAACCCAACCCGAAAATAAAAAGAAAAAATTGTCAAACAAAAGTCTAAAACCCTAAACAGCTAAACTTGGACTCATTTCATTTACAGCCCATAGCCGAGTTCTCTCTTCGCAGGCTTCTCTCTTTCGGTTCCGGGTTCCATTCATTGTTGGTTTGTTCTAGACTGTACCTTGTCCAAAAATCCTAAACCCCTAAATCTTTTTCTCAATCGTTTCTTTGTTGGCACATTTGAAATTCAAGCTCCAAAGTTGTGAAGAGAGAACTTGTACTTTTGAAATAAAAGAGTCCAGTCTAAATGATATACTTTGTATTTCTCACTTTTGGGTTTGATTCAAGCATAGTGGTGTTCAATCGTGTGTGATTGAAGCAAGAATCTGTTGAGATTTTGGCCCCTGGGCTTGAATAAAGATAAGATCCATTTTCTGGTTTATTCTATCAATTTCTTTACAGATTCAATAGCATTCGGTTTTTGCAGTAAATTAGTATTCCATTATTACATATTCAGATGTGCTTATTTTCAGTCACTAGAGCTGGGTTTTTATTGCAGATTATTGTTCTGTTTAATTTCAGTTTCTTGAGAAAACTTATTGTTAGTTTAATTTCAGTCCAGTTTTCTAATTCATTGCACATATAGTTTGTTGACTTGTAAACTAATCATAGTGAACTCCCAACAGAAGTAACCAAATATGGTGGGCAAAAACATGAGAAAGAGGAAACCTTCTGGTCATCAAAAAAAGGCCAGCAATAAGAAGCGGTTATCCTTCATTAGCGATGACCCATTTTTGCAAAACAGAGATTCAAAGCGGAGGAATAAATTCGATGAGAGCGGCCGCATGCGAAGAGCCATCGTTTCCAGGTGCGTGTGCTGTCGTTTGTAATTCTTTTCCTTTTTGTATACAACTTTGGTCGAGTTGATGTATATGCACAACCTTTCAAGCTTTTGGTACTACATTCTGATGCTACAATGCTCTTATTAAATGTAGAAAGTATTAGTTTTAGTAATTTACACACTTTCTCTTATGGGAGGGTTACATTTCTTTGGCTTCCTGTATCTTGTTTCATATTCCTTTGGCTTCTGTTCTTCCTGGAATTTAAGTTCTTCACCCTGTAGGGATTCAGTTTGTATAGAGCAACTTGAATGTTAAATCAAAATTTAGCTTTAAGTTCTGCCTCCTTTCAAATTTCTCTACTTCTCTGTCCCATGTTTCTACTATTGAGTTTTGCTATGGGTACATAGCAAAACACGTAAAGTTTCACATAATGGCTACATGACCACCAACAATTGGGGGGGCTCTACTATTTCGGTGTAGTGGTAATTTTTATCCCCACCTTGTCTATTAATAAAAAATGATCGATACAAACCAATCGACCCAACCCGACCGACATATAATTGGGTTGGGTTGGGTTTCAA